ACTTTTCACGTATAAATAGAGGATGACTTCGTGATGGGATACCAGCCTTTGCAGAGTTACTTCAGCGGCCAAAACTGTTCACAGTATTTCAGCCATGTTCTGACCAGAGCCTGGTATAGTTTAAACAAGACTTGCCTATTTCTATACTCCATTTCCTTTGCAATAAAAGCCAACATTCTATTTGCCTTCTGTATTAGAGACGGAATTTTGATGTTCACTTTGTGATTTACGCACCAGGATGCCCAAGTCTCTGTTCTGTAGCTTTCTGCAATCTTTCTCCATTTAAATAATATTCCATGCCTCTGTTCTTCGTGCTAAAATGTATAACGTCACTTTCTCACATTATATTCCATCGGCCAAATTTTCGCCCGCTCACTTGATCAGTCTACATCCTCTGTAGACTCTTTGCGTCATCCTCACCACTTGCTTCCTCACCTATTTTTATGTCATCTGCAAACCCGGCAATAGTACATTCACCTTCCTCATCCAAGTCATTAATATACATTGTAAATAATTGCGGCCCCAGCGTTGATCTTTGTGACACTCCACTAGTTACAGGTTGCCATCCTGAAAATGCCCCCTTATCCCAAATCTCTTCTATTAGTTAGATAATCCTCTGTCTGTTAGTATCCTACTTCCAACACCACAGGTTACTTACTAAGAGTCCATCTGTGGTACCTTATCAAGCACCTTCTGAAAATCTAAATATATTACATACACTGTTTCCTATTTATCTATCTTGCTGGTTACCTTCTCAAAGAATTCTGGTAAATTTGTCACGCATGATTACCCTTCACGAAGCCATGCTGACTCTGCTTGATCATATTGTGTATTTCTACATGCTCTGTTATTATGTCCTTTATAACAGACTAACATTTTCCCCAATAACAGACATTAAGCTTACTGGCCTTTGGTTACATGATTTTTGTCTCCTTTCCTTTAAATAAAGATGTTACACTGACATTTTCTAATCATCTGGAATATTTCCAGAATCTAAGAATTCCTGGAAGATTACTACCTGTGCATCCGCTACCTCCATAGCTACTTTCTTCAATAGCTTAGGATCCATCCTATCAAGTCCAGGGGACTTGGCATTAACATTATTTACCCTCATACTTTTTCCTCTAGTGGTAATTATTTATTTCCTCTGCTCCCTTTGCCTCTTGATCATTTAGTAATTGTGGAATACTTTTAGTGTCTTCTACTGTGAAGATCAATGCAAAACATGTATTCAACTCTGCCATTTCCTCATTCCCTGTTATTATTTCCCCAGCCTCATTTCCTAAGGGGCCTATTTTCACTTTGGCTGCTCTCTTCCTTTTATGTATTTAAAGAAGCTCTTGCTATCCATCTTGATATTCCTTTAGGTTTACATCCAAAGTTTATCTTCTCGATCTTTGTTTTTTTGATCATCTTTTGATGGTTTTTAAAACTTGCCCAATCATCCCTGTCTTACAATTTGACAATGGTTAGTGGTATTTTTCCCCCTTTCAATTAAATGCTGACCTTTACTTCCCTTGTTAACCATGGTTGGCTTATCCTTTTCCTAGGATCCTTTTTTCTCACCAGGATATATCTTTGCTGTGAGCCATGAACTATTTTCTTAAACATCTGCTATTGTTCCTCAACCATCTTTGCTGCCAAACTCCTTTCCTTATCCTTTCCAGCCATCTCTGCTCTCATTTCTTTGTAATTACCCTTATTTAAGACTAGCACAGCTGTTTCCAACCGACATTCCTCCCTCCCAACCTGAACACTGAATTCTACCATATTACGGTCAATGTTTCCTCAAGGGATCTTTTGCTCCGACATCGTTTAAAGCTGCCTATTTACATTGTTTTGGATCTGGTAAAGTTTGACCCCTGGTTGGATCCACAACATACTGTTACAAGAAACTGTCTCAAATACACTCTAAATTCTTCCTCATGGCTACCTCTACAAATCTGACTATCCCAAACTATAAGAAATTAAAATCACCCATGATCTGCCTTTGCTACACACCCTCATTAATTCTGTCCCACCAGACAGCTACTCGGATCCTATTAAATACTCCTACCAGTGTTGTCTTGCCTTTTTTATTTCTTACCTGCACCCTTCTGGATTCCAAGTCTTCTGATCCAAGGTTATTTCTGACTATCATATTTATTCCATCCTGTTCCAAAAATGCTACCCCATCACCCTTTGCTTCTTGCCTGTCCTTTGGAAAATATTTAATTTTGATCTAGGTTTGATCTCTTTGTAATCATATCTACATAATGGCTACAAGATCACACCTGTATTTGTGCCATTAATTCATCTATTTGGCTCAGAATACTATGTACATTGAAGAGCCATTAATTTTGCCTTTTTTAGCCATTTTTTTTCCCCCCCGAATTTATACTTGTTTTTCAATGTTTATATATTCTGTCTCTTCCTGTCCCACTCATTATTATTATCCAAATAGCAGCCCTGTAATGCTGCTGTAGCCTCTTGCTTTGTAAACCTACATTTCCCCCTCTCCCAAACCCTCCCCTCACTGTCCAGATTAGTTCAAACTTCTGGATCAGTATTCCAGTATGTTACCATACTAGTGACAGAAATTGTCAAAAATATATTCCTGCTGGATGATGGCTAAAAGAATTGAATTTAAAATACATTCCAAAAAGTACAATAGGGGAATTTAGGATTTTTCTTTAAATGTAGAGGTTTCTTGGCACACAGGAAGCTCCATGATAAATATGGCACAAACAGAATCTATTTATGTTGGGGAAAGGGACAAAGTTGGTAAGTCTTTTAGGAAACAGACACAGGCATAATAAGCTGAATGACCTCCTTCTGTTACCCGTACCCAGCTGGGAGCATTCATTGGGAGTGTAGAAGGATCCTTGTTATATTTAAAACTCATATTGGACCTGCCCTGAGAGGTTTAATTCAGAATCTGGTTGTTAGAAACAGAGGTTTCATTCCCCAGCACAAATATCCCTTTGATTAACACATAAAAAGATTTACTGCATGCTGTTCATGACATAAAAACCAGTAGCTTAAAATGAGACTACCAAGAACCTTGTAATCTCTCCTTCTCTTCTCCATCATCCAACAGGAAATAGAGTACATTTGCACAATGATCTGAGCAAAATCATCTTGGGCACAGCAATAAGTTTCAACCAACCACAGTACTTTGTGCTGCTATATTTGGAACCCAAAGACAGATTTAACTGACAAGACGTTACGTTATTTCTGCAAGAGAACAGGAAAGCAGCTGGGCTGGGGGAGGAGGAGGATATCAGTGGGACATTAACAAACTAACAGCAATCACTTCCCCTATTCACTCCAGAGATCAAAGTGCAGCTTGAAGAGTGAGCCAGAACACCAGCTTCTAAACTCCGCAATAGAATGGAAATCTGGCCTTTATTGCTTAAACTGTCAAGTTACTCAAGCTTTTCTGGCTGCCCACAATATTTGCATAACGACTAAGGATGTGAGAGACATTACATCTGAGGTCCAAGCATGTTGTTTGCTGAAAAAAGTGGAATAGAGAGGGTGTGGTGGGAAAGGTTCAGTTATTGCTCCTTGTTTCTGCATAAAACTTACATTCTCCATCCACTACTAACAGAACGCAATACCCTTTTTTTTGGAGGGGGGGCAGCAGACATCAGCAGAGTCAGTTTGAAGCAGTTTTTTTTTGTAGTCATTGAAAATTCCTTATATCTGGGACTCCTATGTCAGCCATTTTGACCCACTGCAGTGCCAACTATGTGGAAGATTCTATGCATGTCAAGAACAGTGATGTCAATGCTAGGGAATAGAATGCTGTTCCACTTTTGGCAGCTGTCAGTATTAAATGGCAATTCAATAAAAATACAAGTAGTAAAAGACCATTTGGCTCAATATGCTCTTTTGATCAGTCAGGTATTTCATTAAAAGAAAAAAATGTCCAAAGATATTTTTGAAACTAAGAATAAGGGAAGGAAGTAAACTTTACATGTTGAAATTTTAAATGGAAGAGAAGAGCAGATGTACAAGTTATTTCTAAAAAGTCAGCACAAGTAAATACAGCAATAAAACAGGAAACCAAGGAGTCTCTTTACCAATGTAGAAATATCGAGCATGGAGACAATTGGCAGGAAAAGACCCAATGGTCCATCCACACTGTCACAGGTAGAAAAAAAAGTAGATATGTTCAACTCGTACAAGACCAAAGTCAAACTGCAGTTGAAAGTATTGGGTTTAGTTTTTGGTATCCTTATAATAAAACTATAAAAGAGAGGATGCAAAAGAGGTTCACCAGGCTGATACCAGAGATGACAAGTCTGTCCTATGAGGAGAGATTGATTCAGTTGGCCTGTGTTCACCAGTGTTTAAAATGACAGAGAATCTGATTGGAACACAAATTTCTAACAGGGCTGGACTGACTAGACGCAGGGAGGATATTTTCCCTGGTTGGGAAGCATGGAACCAGAGGTCACAGTCTCAGGATACGGGGTAGGCCATTTAGGACTGAGATAAGGAAAGATTTCTTCACTCAAAAGGGTAGTGAATCTGTGGAATTTTCTACCACAGTTGTGGAGGCCAAGCCACTGAACATATTCAAGAAAGACTTTTTTTTTGGCATGAAAAGGCAACAATAGGTATGGGGATCAAGTGGAAATGTGGCATTGGGATAGAGGATCAACCATGATCCTATTGAATGGTGGACCAGGCTCAAAAAGGGCTGAATGGCCTGCTCCATGTTTCTAACAGCACAACAGGTACAATGTAGATTCACTTGGATGTTTATCAGCGATGAGAGATTAAATTATAAGTAGAGACCTGAAATACTTTCATCCATTGACCCATTAGGAATACTGCAAGTGCCATGGTCTGAAAAGAGAAGGCTTTAAGTGTCTGGTATTAATTTTTTGCTATACAGACCACGTACGATTAACATCAATAATAATTCCATTTTCATAAAAAAAGGTTACTGTTTGGACTTTGAGCACAAGGCATTTTGAATCCAGTGTTCTTGAATTGCTAAAACTCACCATCTGTGCTGGCATCATCCACTAATAGGATTTCCTTTAGGAGTATGGCTGGAGAGGTATGCATCACACTGTACACTGTCCTCAGCAAGGTGGACCAGGCCTCATTGTGAAACACTATAATCACACTTGTTGAAGGTAGAGGAGGGCAACGCTTGAATCTCTGTTCAATGCACCTGAACAAGACAATCCAAATTTGAGAGACTGTCAATATTTCATAAGAGATTATTTTCCTTGTAAATTTTGTGTTTCAGGGTGAGAGATGTTAGTGCTGGGAAATGGTGCACTTTCCATCTTGTGTGCAACCATCTACATTTTCCAAATTGGTGAGATTGGATTAACACAGAAGGTACATTTATTTGCACCAGCATTAAAATAATACCAATTGGAAAATTTACTGTCAACATCACAGTCAGGCAGAGTACATTCAGAAGGAGAACTTTACTTTCACAGTGCCATTGTGATACACAATCCATCCCCTCCCCCCAACCCAAGGGGACAGATGACAGATGACAGATGATTGTTTGCCTTCATATCTCAGCCTGACAATGGAACATTACTTACACAACAGTCACACTCCTTGATCAAGTACTTCAGTGCCAGTGTGAGACTTGAACCACAATGTACTGACCTAGAGGTGAATGCACTATCAATGGACCAAAATCCAAGCACGAAATATCTGCAACATTATTTTGTAGGGGTTGGCCAGATGGTTTCAGACTGACTGTTTCTATTTCTTTTCCCTCTTTTCATCACCACCCAGCAGCACCACCCTCCCCACAAGAGACCAACAGAAGACAATCTTAGACAGTCTGAAACCCATTTTCAGTACGCATCAACAGAAGTAAACCTACCCTGTTTAATACTGAAGTGGGAATCTCATTATAGGGTTTTGAATGATAGTTGGTATTTTGCTAATAGGGGTCACTTAAAATGCCCAGATGTTATACAGGGAGTCTTTATATCTCCAAATGTTTAAAGCAAAGTCTGGGTGCCCAAAATCAGAACATTTTTCATTTCCCAATACCAATGTTCTTCACATTAATGATGCCAAACATTGACAAACCCAAGTCCCAACCCTGACAACTGGATCAAATGGAGAGGTTGGATCACTTACTCTGGAGGCCGTGTGTCTGGTCCAAGGGTCCTGTGTAAGGAGATGCGATCACTGGCATAGGCATTGAAACAGTGTTTGTCAAGGCCACGTGTTTTCTCCTCCTGTTGCTCTGGTGAGAGATTGTCGGTGTGAAATGCCTTTGCATCAGCACCCGGTGCGTTAGGATCCTCAGGAGGGCGTGCAAGAAAGGTCTTCAGTTCTGCACCAGTGTAAAACCCTGGTAAACAGGACTTGCTGTCATC